TAGCCTAAGGGGCAAGCTGGGGTCCATAAGCCTGGGGTTCTGGTGCGGTTGATCCCACGCAAAAGAAACCCAGCTAGACTAATGTACGCCAAGGCTGAAAGAAGTCTCAGCCTCAGCAAGGGCCTACGCCAAAATCCAGTCCTGCCTCCTAGGGATACCCTCCCTATGAATTGTAACATCAAGGTATGGCAGGAGAAATAATATAATTCTGCTACAAAAAGCTGATTTTAAGCTGATTTTTTTTCTCATTTACATTGGTTTCTTCTGGCACTTTGACAGAATAAGCCATTATTAGCTATACAAATTTGCTTGGCTAACTTAAGCCTTGTTCTTCTTTTTTCTAAGCCCCTCTTCTAATGTTCTAAAGTCCCCTTTTGCCAAACTTAACTTTGTGCCTTTGTAAAGTGCTTTGGAGTCAGTAGTATATTTATAGCAGCATATGTCTGCATAATACAATATAGATGAATAATGCATGATAGGTTTGGGCCCTCAGGGAGTTTATAGTCCAGAGGCCTGACATTGAGACTGTAAACTCCCTGAGGCAGGGACTTGCTTTGCATTATACATCAATGTTATGTCATTCAAACCTAAGGTTCTACACAAACAACATATAATTCCTGTATGGCTACTAATTACAATGTGGTTTATGGGGTGTAAGAGACAGGTAATGAGAAAATATCAAAGAAACACATGCATTTGACTTTGCATTTGTGTCAATAAACACAATGATTTAACAGCAAATTTTCAAAGGGGTTCCCACTCCAGCCTCCAAAATTAGACACCTTTTTGTTTAAAGTAAGCTTACAGAAAGATTAGGTTTTCAGACTCTTGAGACATTCAAATTATTTATACAATTATCTGCACCTAAATATTTTTGTTGTGGGCCACAAAATCCCATATATAAAGAATAAGTCCTCAAATTGAACCTACCTTTCAAAATATGGCTTTTAAGCTAGATTGTTGTTTTCTACCTGCCTGTTTTTGCCAGTATATTCTAAAGTGCCCATCAGTATGATACCCCTATGAATTTCTGTGCCCAGTTACATGGAGGCAATTGTATGGAAACAAATGAGCCAAAGAAACAAATTGCCTATTCTGGGAAAAGGGTAGTTACAATTCTAGGTTTTAATAAGAGACCATATTTTTTGCACCAGCTACTGCTTCCATTGGGCACTTCCCCACAGGCAGTGGGGTGTGCTTGCAGTGGCACAAATAGCAGTGGCACAAATTATGTGCTGCTGTGTGCCCCACTGCATGCCGTTCCATGTGCACTTTGGCATGCAGCAAATTGTCCTGCCAGCACCTGGGGTGGCCCCAGCAGTATTTCCTGATGCCCGGGTGCAGCAGGGGCACAGATCCGGCAGCACAGAGCCTGGCTAGAAGCTAGAGCATTGCTCTGGACTGCCAGTCCTCCACTTGTTCCAGCGCACACTACAAATGCATGTGCTGTGCTGCTTTTTTCCCTTGAGTTGTTGTTTTGTTGGGGTTTGTTGTTGGTGTTTTTTTGCTGCCAAGATTTTCCAGTGGCAAATTTTGCCTCTGTGCTGAAAATCTGCGGTGGGGTGCATGTTTTCATGTTCCAGGCATGTGGTCTATGGCACTGCAAAGAGGTTTGTGGCACCACACACTGCACATATCTACATGTCTGAATGCACCCAATGACTGCATCCAGACCAGTGCAGACGTTTGCCTCCCTGGGGACAACTAGTAGCAGCACACCTTGTATTGCTGCTACTTGTCCCTGGGGAACAATGTGCCCTCTGCCATGCACCCTCTGGAGTGCAGCAGGTTACCCTGGGTAAGGTAGGGGAAGTTGCGGCCAGCAACTGTGGCCCTTACCTAGGGTCCTGGGGGCCAGGGAACCTGTAGCTGCATTGCTCCTGCTGCTGAGAGCCTGGTTCCAGCAGGCCAGGCTCCAATTTTTTGGTGCACACTGCCTCCATGTGCAACACCCCACTTCTTTCTGCGTCGGTTTTTTTGACCCTGGGATCTCCTGGAGTAAAAAAAAACAACCCTGCACTGCAAGGTGCGGGGGTTGGGGGAAGGGCTTCTGCAGCACTACATACTATATGGCCATGCTCATCTGGACATGGCTATTGAGTCTACTTGCTACTGTCTCCAAAAGGGAAACTAAGTCCATTATTTGCTAATTGGAATTCGCAAGAGCTTCACTCTGAGCCTTAAACAGATTAATTGTACAAACACTTACCGTGTCCCATCTTTATCTGCCACAAATGTTGGAGTTGCTATTAGAGGGCTTCTTAAGTCTTTCCTGATGTAGATTTTTTCAGTTGAGGCTGCACAGTTGGTTGGTTTCTCCCGTTGCACATCAAAAGGTTTTCTTTCACTCTGAACCGCTACAATAGAATAGAAACAGATATGAAAGGAAATAATTCATCTATCTTTTTTAAAATGTGTTAACACCTAACATGGGATTTCAGCATGTATTGGCTCAGTTCAAGTCAACGCAATACCGGAAATTCTCAAAGATGGCTAAAGGGACCTAGGTCCTGTTCTTGCAATACATCTCAGCATGATGGCACTTACGTGGCACTCAAAAGATGGTGGCACTTAAGTGGCCTACTGAGCCAGAATCATAGTTTTCTACCACATTGTATTTAACTATGTGAAGCATTCTGGAAGATGAATTCTCATACTATATTTTTCAGGAAATCATATATAGATTCAGAGCAAATAGTATTTCTCAAACATTTTATTAAAAACTACCTAATAAAATGAAATGAAAACTGAAAACAGACCAGTTCAGCTGAGAAATTTTGCACTGCCACCTGGAAGATGACAATATGCTTCTAAGTCACAGTGGATTTGTAAATGATTTATAAATAATGTATTATTTTCACCCAATTAAGGAACAGGGCTAGTGGGCTCCTAAATACATATCTCCAGGATTAAAAAAGGCCTCTAGTTCTCAAGTAGAGGAAAACACACTTTTTCTTTAAAATGACATGGATGATCAGAAACATTTATATAGCAATTTTAAAGAAGGTGTAGTGTATGCTTTCAATATTGGAATACCACCACTGAATGGACTAGCAACCAGGAACTCCTACCTCTAATTTTCTGTATGGCTTTGGGCAAGCCATTTAATATTAGGATGCTTCAGTTTCTTGCATACAATTTGGTGAAAATAATCAGGCTGACAAGAGTTTTAAGAATTAGCTAATGTCTGTAAAGCACTTTAAAAATGTGAAGTGCTAAACTAGCGGGGATAATAAAAGCTCTGGCCTGAAAATGCCTCTTCATTTGCATGCAAGGGAACATTTCTAATGTATTAGAATTAGGTTTTTTCATGGAAATGGTTAGCGTAGGAGCTGAAAATGTTTACAGCAATCTCTGCATTCGTTACCTGGAGTACGTGACATCACACTGGGTACTGAATACTCACATTCCATTTTCATGCCCATTTCTAAGCATTTCTTAAGCCTACAAAACTGGCAACGATTCCGATGGTGTTTATTGATGATACAATCCTGGTTGCTACGACAACTGTAGGTCAAGTTCTTCCTGACACTCCTTTTAAAGAAACCTTTGCATCCCTCACAACTGACAGCACCATAGTGACGACCTAACGGAAAACAGAATGAACGTACAAGTCTTTTATCCCAAGAAAATGATTTATATTTTTAATGTCAACATCTTATTCTATGCAGGTGAAGTATTTTGGCAAATTGCATGGTAGATTTCTTCAGTGACAACAGTACTCCAGTCTAATGTCACAGAGATTATTTTTGCAAAAGCCTCTTCAGGTTTAGTGTTTGCTTTAAAGGGTTTCCATAATGGCAGTCCCCAACCTAGTCAAGGATTCATGTACTAAATTGCATGCAATACAATGTAGGACCTCTGACTCACAGTGCACACGATGAAGAGTGCTCACCAAATGAGCTATTCAAAAATTTATTTTCTCCTCATCATTCAGTATGTACATAATTTACTATCATCCATACCTTGAGTAAAGAATTACTGATGTTCTAATAGGTTAGTTGCTTAGCATTTTATTATTTTATGTATTTAGATTTATATGCCAACAAAGGCTCAGGCTTACATTAAGGCAGAATAATATATAAAAGCAAATGGGAAGTAGCACCCCTCAAGTGCTTTCACAAAAATGCCATATGCCAATGGCAATTCATTACTGCTTAGCTACCCCACAAACTTTAATTAATTTGCCTTTACATCACTCCCATGAGGTGATGCTGTATTACTGTTCCCATTTTACAAATTAGGGGACTGAGACACATTTATGTCAGAAGGCTAAACTAATTTTACATGACAGAAGTGTACACTAATTTTAGATGACAGAAATGTACACTAATTTTAGATGACCAGCCTGAAATGTTTGAGGCGGTCCCCCAGCCTTGGAAATTTCAGGTCAGATGGTTACAATATGAAAAAGTTATATGTGACTGAAAATAAGGGCTTATAATGGAAATGTCAGAGAAGTTTAAATATAGATTTGTTCCTTGCATGCCTAAAATAATCCTTCTTGCTTTAGGGCACAAACCAGCCTTTAACTGATAAAGTTAAATATTCAACCCCATGGCCTATTTATTCTATTATGAAAGTTCTTGGACCTTTCTGTGAAGCAAATGGGCACTCTGAAAGACTGAAAAACTGAACTAGACAGACTAGTGATCTGCTATGTCAGTTCCTAAGCTTTAGTGTTATTAGGGGTTGAGTAGGCTCCCCAGAATAAATCTATGAACTCAAACTAGCCATGAAAATGAAAGCAAACTTGTATCCCTCACAGTGTACTCCTGTTAACAGGTAGGAAGTAAAAGTTATGTTGCCAATATCAGCAAGCAGACTACTACTGGACCAAGCAGAGTTTAACTAAGAGGATGCTGAATACAGCTTGTTCCAGTTGTGGTCAGTATGTCATGTCATTTGATCGTTCAGAGCAATAATCAAACACAGTGAAATTCTGTAAAGTATACAAGCAACTTTTGGCAATTGCCAATACACTTCATCTTTGCCCCGGTTTCTCAACACATTTCATGTCACAAAAGTATATTTGCTTACCTGATGCTTTATCTCCACAGACCACACAATATTCTACTACCTGGGGCCGCTGAACATCAGTTTTACCCAACAAACGTTCCACTGAAGCAGAGTCTGTCACTATCTAAAACAAAATGCCAAAACAAAAAGTAGGTGAGTGCTAATGATACCAAGTTGGGCAGTATTGTCTATAAAGGGGGACTGTATAACACAGCTATAACACAAAGGAAGAACTGGATGTCCTTACAGGTGAGAGTAATGGGAATACAATAAAAGAAAACAGTCTAAAAGTGCAAGGCCATTGATTTAGAAGCTATTAAGAGTTTCTGATATAAACTGGGAAACTATTAGTTGGGCACTGGAATGACCTGAATTCTTAAGATGACTATGAATAATTCGTGTTAACAGGTATGAAAAAGGCAAAGGCAATCCTGAGATGTATCAGGTGTAGAGGTGCACTGATACATTGGTCTATATTGTATCGGTACCAATAAAAGGAAAATTGACATTATTGGCAATCAGCTTTTTTTGGCTGATGTGGCCGATAATGTTGCCGATAAGTGCCGCGTGCATGCGCGCAGCTGCAGCAATCATGCAGCCAGCTTGGCAGCTTGGAGAGCAGCATCCAGCTGGTAAGTCTGTTGGGGTTATGGGGCAGAGGGGAGGGAAGAGGAGTGTGGGGGGTGCAGATTGAGGCCCCCATAGTGAGGGAGGGAGTCGGGCTGGGGCTGAGACAGGCACTGCCCAGCTGGCATGGAGTGTGGGGCACAGCCACAAGTGGCTCATCTGGGGGGATGTGGGAAGGAGGGAAGCAGCTCCCACTGCTGCGTGCGCCCCTGGGGAAGGCATAGGGGGTGTGTACCCCCTGGATCTGTGCACAGGGCAAGGGCAGCCTGGAGCCAGGGTGGTGCTGGGCTTTTCCTAGCAGGGGGGAGGGGGAGGGTTGGGCTGTGTTCAGGGTGAGCGGCAGCAGCACTGGGACTGGGGCTACAGGGTGGGATCCCATAGCTGCCCCCGCAACGCTGCTGCCACCTGCCCTGAGTACAGCCCCACCCCTGCCAGGAAGAGTCTGGTGTCGCCCCTGGCCCCAGCCCACAGTGGCAGCATATCCTCACCCTGCACACAGATCCGGGGGGCACATGCCCCCTATGCCTGCAGCAGGGGTGTGCGCAGCAGCAGGAGCCGCTCCCCCATCCTCCCCGCACCTCAAGATGAGCTGCTTGCAACTCCATCCTGTGCCCCGCCCTGCCCCAGGTGGGCAGCACCTGCCCCAGCCCC